GAATAACAGCAGTAGCCACTAAAAAAAACCCAGGCAGCTAATTTCAAATACACAAATCATGTGGTATCATTTTTTAAAAAATTAAATACAATTTAAATCTAAAAGCATTTCTTACAAATCTTGGTGGAGGAACAGCCAGGTTCAAGCTACTCAGCGAAACCTCCAATCCATTCTGGGCACATGCCACAAGACGCAAAGCAACAAAGAATTCCTGAAAGAAAAGTGGGAATGTTAAGAGTATTCTCTCTTTCTCTCTTCTACCTACACCCATGTTTACAATCTAAAAATTATAAACAATTCATAACCACTCCAGGGTTTTTATGGACCAACAAATATAACAGCACATTTACTTTAAAAACACTTGTTCTAAAATTGAGAAAAGACCTATGTACAAAGATGTTCCTAATATAATAAATAGCAGATAACAACACATATAGAACAAACTGCGATACATACAGATAATGGAAATTATACAAAATACTCACATTTCAAAAAAGAATGTGATGTTAAGAGATTTAATGATGTTAAGAGATTTATTTTATCATTTAAGTAAGAAAGAATTTTGGGGAAAAAAGCCTAAAAGAAAATAATATCTTAAATGTTACCAGAAGTCATCTCTGGATTATGAGATTATAAATTTTGAAACTGGATCAATACATCAAAAGATTCAATCACTGCTATTCCAGAATCACTACAGACAATAACTGTGTAGCATCTAAAACAATTATATGACTACTTGACTTCAAAATACTTATAAATCCTCACTACCACCAAAGGTCTTTGAATTTTTAGCATTTGAAATCTCCATCCCAAACTGACAGAAGCTGAAGCAACTGGTTTTCAGTCATTTTCAGTTAGACATGGGTTTGGTACTAGACATGAAACAAAAGCCTTTACTCCAGTAGTAACTATTCCACCTTGTCAATACCCTAGTACAGCTGCTGAAGCAAACAACCCTTCACTACTTTTCTCAAACCCCCATTCTACCATATACCCTTCAT